CAGATACTCAGCCCAAGACAAGAGTTTCTGTTTGCTTCCAGTTCCAGCCACAGAGCCACAGTTACAGATTCTTATCAGGCCTTCAAAACATGCCAAAATCTGTGAGTGACTCCACACTGAGGAGATCAGACACTAAGCTTCAATTAACCTGTTTTTGCCGTCTTACCATCTGTAAGTCCAGGGAGAGGAAATTCTGGGACAAAATACCTCTAAAAACTGAAATCAGTCAAAAGGAGAAATAAAGTTTAAAACCCATTTATTGCTTACAAACTGCAGTCCAGACCTGGCTCTCTTTCCTGCTCCAGCAGAAGCAAAACTGGCCCTCCCCCTCACCTCTCAAGTACTGATAAGCCTTCTGTTGCCCAGGTTAATTACCCATTGATATGGAGAACTTCCCTCTACTCCTGAGGATATGATGCAAATGCACTAAAGCCATACTTCTCTCCACCCTTGAGTGCCTGTTGATATGTAGATGTACTAAAGCCAGGTGAGATATTCTAGAAATATTACAATTTTACCCACACCATCTTGTGTTATAAGTTCTTGTCTTTTGTACTCATCTTCCCCTTAACTTCTTTACAATGTGCCTTCAAGTTCTATTCAAACCCTATTTTCTTAAGATAATCAGCTAAGTTCTGAGGAAGGCCCCTAGATCCCATTATGTCTCTGAAGGCCAAAGGAGACTCTTCAGTATACTTGAAAATCCTCTGAAGGTTTAGTGAAACAAATTCGGATGTGTCTAAGAAGGATTTATCACAATTTCAATTTGGAATTCAGATGGCTTTTTAGAGAGGCTTTCTATTTCTTGCAGGATTACCCTGTTCTTAAAATGCTTTCCTTGGGCCAAAAACTATACAATCGGTACTAAAAGGCTGACTCAGGAGGCTACATCATTTGGTGGTGAAATTCCTGAAGAAGGAATATGGAGACCAGTATTTTTCATACCAAATTGCTTGACTCCTTTGAGCCCCCGGATTCTTAGTTACAAGATACGATGTTCCTTTCTTTGATGATGCTCAGGATTGTCATAAAGACCAAATTAAATTAATGAAAGGAAAGAATACTTAAAAGTATGCTAATTGCTACAGCATAATAGTATACTATTATTATAACCAAAGTAATTCACCATTGCCTTATACTAGACATGGTAGGTGTTTTCATCCTTTCAGCCTCTCATTTCAGCAATGAAATAAGAGATTCTGTCAGGGCATACCTTCCCACTTAGAGCTGTGCTTTGGTAAGCCTTCCTCACTTACCTTTACTTTTCCTACTTTTTCTTCAGGGATGTGCTTGGATCACTCTCTGCTTTTAGGCTGAAGTCTTTTAGTGGTGTCCTTGCTAACTGTATCCCCTTCCTGAAGTCCTCAAGCATGCTTCCATTTGGTCCAAGCATTGTCATTTGGCCCCAGGCAGTTGGCTCTTAGCATCTCCTTTTTCTTTGGCTATTTATATTCTGGGTACAGGGATTACCTCTGTAACTACAATGTCTTTCTTTGAGAGAAGGGCCTGTGATTTACACCTTTGCATCCTTAGTTCAAGCAATAACATTTTCATTAACAGTGACTTTTGGGGAGTATACTGGGGTAAATAATGTCCCCCCAAAATTCATGTCCACCCAGAACCTGTGAACGTGACATTACTTAGAAAGAGCATCTTTGAACACATAATCAAGTTAAGGTCATACTGGATTAGGGTGGCCCTAATTCCAATGTCTGATGTCCTTAAAGAAGAGAGAAATTTAGATATGGAGGAGACAAGGGAGGGCAGGCCGTGCAATAACAAAAGCAGAGATTGGAGTGATGTAGCTGAAAGCCAAGGGGGGCTAAGGATTGCCACCAACCCCCAGAAGCTAAGAAGAGGCAGAGAAGGATTCTTCTTTAGAGCTTTCAGAGGGAGCAACTTGATTTCAGGCCTCCAGGCCCCAGAGTTGTGAAAGAATACATTTCTGCTGTTTTAAGTCACCCAGTTTGTGGTAATTTGTTATAGCAGCTCTGGGAAATGAATGCAAGAATGCTGAGCATTCCTTCTGAGGCCACCATCTAGCCTTGGGCAACCTGTGTTCTGGAGATCTGGGGGTGCTGATCAGAGCAAGTTTTTAAGGAAAAGAAGAGAATAATTGAAGACAGTGAGTGGAGAGGGAAAGAGCTGGGTATGGTCTGAGTATGGAACTATCCAAAACAAAGTTTACAAACTTGATGTTGAAGGTGTTTATAAGATGCCACCATAGGAACAGTTGGCTTTATAACAAAAAGGTTGATCTGGGAGTTGGAGACGGGAGCAAGTGAGTGAATGGATAACCACTTATGATATATTCAAAATAATAAAATCAACCTATTTGAGAGGAATTGGATGAGTGTGTGTGTGGATTTCATAGTACCCCTTGCTTGACATGACTGGAAGCTGCTGTGGTGTGAGCTGGGGCTGATACCAGTGGTGGGCCATTTCAGTTCTAGTCTTGGAGGCCCCTATTTTCTCAGTTGTTAACAGCAGGGATACTGGGACAGATACCATGGGTTGACTGAGTCTCCTACTTACTGGCAAGTTAACTGTTTCACTTGTCTCCCTCTTCGTATCTGTAAAATCAGAATAGAAATGGCACCTCCCTCATAAGCCTGTGAGGGTCAAAAGAATTATTCTGCATAAATTGCTTAGAGCAGTGCCCAAGATGGACAATAGAAGCTGTAGTTGTTATCATCTTCATTGTCATCATCCATGTGCCAATGAGGGAGACCAGAAGGGTGAACTGTGTGACCTTTGATGACATGTCCAGAAGCAGGAGGTCCCACTCGGTGAAAGTGAGTGCAAAGCTGGCTTTTTGCTTGAAAATCAGTCTACAAAATGGGTATTAATATATTTGCTCCCTCGAGCATAGGCAGAATAGTCTCAGGGTCTCTGCTACTGTGGACAGACTCCAGTTCTTGGGAGTGCAGAGCTCTCTCTTTGGGATTCACTGGGCCTCAAGGCCAAACCGGTTCTATTTGGTGCTATCCAGCTCCCCATCGGCCAGGCACGGGGCAGGCCCTCAGTCAACAGAGACTGAGAGAGAAAGGAAGGAGCAAACCAGATGGGACTGACTTGCCCGTTGCTCCTCCTGCCTTGTAAAGCCAATCTTGGGAGCCTCTGGCCCCAAAAGAGAAGAACTTGAGCGCTGTGGGAGATGTCTGCAAATGTCAGGATTGCAAACGCAGCGTAGAGCATCCATTTCACAAAGTTAGCATATTCACTAGAACCCACTATGGAGGCTGAGCAGTAGTTATTGCCCAATTGGTTAAGTACGTGTGTACTTGCTTTCATAGAATTATTCGAGTGAGCAGGATTGGGACAGGATATGGGCCTGCACAGCCAGCTGCCACCCCCACCCCCTCTTGAGGGTAAAGAGGAAGCCTTAGAGTGTCTACTTGGCGTGTAGACACCGATTGAAAAACAGCTTTGTACCCTGTTGTTTGGGTAATAAGCTCACCTTCCCACGCTGTGACTAGATAAATATCTCCAGGCTGAGTGGGACATCGTCCTCGTCTTACCAATGAGAGGGAGTAGATTCCCGCAGGGCCAGAGCCCCGCAGAGCCCGGCATTCGAGGGAAAGCAAGGAGTCACAGGTGAGTTTGCTTTGCCAACGCCCTCTGAGGGACTTTGGGCAGGTCACTTAGCTCTCCAGACTTTGAATTTCTTGTCTGCTAACTGCAGGGAGGGAACCGAACCTGGATGACTCTCAGGGTAGCGGCGGAGAGCCGGGCATATGGCCAGAGAGGAGCGCGCCGCCCGCGCCTGGGAATTTTGTCCCAAGCGCTGGGCTGGGACCCTGGAGCGCAGGGGTGGGGCTCTCCCTCTGCGGGGGCGCGACGGCGGCGCTCCTCCTTTCTGCTCCACGTCACGGGGCCCCTCGGCGCTCTCCCACCCGCGGCCGAGGGAGAGCAACTCCCTAGCAGAGCGCGCCGCCGAGTTGGGGAAGAACGAGGAGGTGGGAGCAAGCCGCCGCCGCTGCCGCCGCTGCCGCCGCAGAGGGGACTGGGGCGCTGGACGCAGCTCGCGGCCCCCGCCGCGGTGGCCTCTGCAGCCGCCGGGACCCCGCGTTCGGGGCTCCCCCGCTCCCTTTGGTAAGTCGACTTAGCTACGCCGGCCAACAAGGAACGCCCTGGCCCGGGGTGCAGCGCTGTCCCTTGGTGGCGGGGTGCGGGGCTCCGGTCCCATCTGCAGGGTGGTCGGGACGCCCGGACCCTCTCCTCGCGGCTTTCACTTTCCCGCCGCGCAGCCCTTGGGCGCCGCGGTCGTCCAGGGGATGAGGGCGGGGGTGTCGGCCTGGGGGGGCCGCGTCGCGAGCCCCGGCTGAGCCCCGGCCTGGCTGCGCGCCCGCGGGCCTGCGGGTACTGGGAGGGGCCGGCGCGGCCACCCGGCGGGCGCAGATGGAGTTGGGGCGCGGGGGCCACCCCGCCGAGGGCCAGCGGACGCCGCAACTTCGGGGCTTCACGCCGCGGCCAGACACTGGAAAGTTCCCTGAGGCCAACGCTGGGGAAGAGGGCGGCGGGCGGCCGGTGTGTGTCGGCGCGTGTCAGCGCCAAGGTGTCCCGGGAGACGCGAGCCGCGGCGTCCGCATCCCGGGCTCCTGGGGCAGAGCGGGGAGGCCGGCAGGCGCTGAGCGCCTCCGCGGCGGGGGTTCCCCGGGAATCTCCCGGAGCGGGGAGAATGCGGAGCCCGATGCGCCCTCCCCCGAGTGGGGGTCCCGCGGTCTCTGTCCTCCCCGAGGTCCACCTAGAGCCGCCCAGGTGACGGGCGCCGGGGGCTGGGTCCTTGAGGGACCTTCCAAGCCGGTTCCGCGCCCTTCCTTTCTGGGCCCGCCCGCCAGCTTCTTGGTAGCCCTGGACCCGTGCGGCCCGGCGACGCTGCCCGAGACCCGGGTCCCGGCCGTCCTCGCTCCGGGAGGCGGGAGGAGGTGAGTGGGCGGGCGAAGGAGGCGGCGCTCGGGGACGGGCGGCTCGCGCGGCTTCTGCGGTCGGACCCGGCGTGGGAGCCGGAGGGAACGGCGTCGTGATAGAGGATTGGAGGCTGCGAGGCAGACTCCCGGCCGCGCCGGCCGCAGGGGCGAGCTTCTGCCCTTTTTAAGGTCAAGTTTTCGTGCCGCAGAGCTGACCAGGATTGTCCCTCCCGGCAGTCTGGAGCTTCCGGGGATCCGAGCCGAAAGGTCTGGACTCGGAGTTAGTTTACCGTCTTAGGCTAACGGAGCGAGTGAGCAGGTACTGTTTTGTAAATTTCGGAACTAAGCTTTCTGGCTTGGAGGAGGTTTCCTGCGTGGTTGCAGCCCGGGAAACCTGTGTCTTGCCCCTTTACTGGGCAGGGAGAGAGGTGGTGTTAGTCCTGAGGCCCTTGTCCTTTCCTCTTCCAGTTCTTAAGATTGAAGAGCAACGAACCAGTAGATTTAGGGAGCTCGGGATAATACTAATTTACGTGTCCGGTGTGCTTTGGTAGACATGGAAGTCTACATGGTCTTACACGCGTAAAGCATGCCCTTATTATGAAGCCACCTATCGGTCTAAGACATTCTAGAACTTGATTGTCCCTTTTCACAGCTTTTATTGATAGTGTCTTGAGGAAGTAAAATCTAAAAGTAAGTGGACTGTTGCGGAGAGCAGTTCCTATGTTGCACTTTCTAAGGATCTAATTCTCTTGAGAAATGACCATTTAAGGTGCAGTTGAATTATCTCTTGTATTAGCAGAGAAACAAGAGCCAAAGAAACCTGTTATGTGGCACTGAATGTCCCCGGGGAAGACTGAAAGGAGAGTTTCCTTTGGAAGTGTAGAAGTGCCCCCTCCTGTTTACTACTTACACTCATTGTTTTGAGGGGCAGAGTTCATAGTAATTTGTTAAATGCCACACCACTAAATACTCTGCACAGAGGTAGGTAGGGATGATGGCACCATGCCTATAGCATAGGAGGGCAATACATAGTTACTACACCAACTCTGAAAGGAGTCATGGGGAGGGAGACAGGTGGAGACTATGCATGCCAGTCTCCAGTTTCTGCTTTCTCCCTTGAGAATCACCCACAACTGGAACCACTGTTGTTGGGAGTGTGACTTGGTGACCTGGGGCTTCTAGCACCTCATACCAGAAGTAAAACTGCGTCAGCTTCAAAGAGTTTCCTTCTTAGACTAGAAGACAGGAAGAAAGCCATCACAGTAAGATTGTGGGATGGCACGTTGAAAAATAAATTCACAATCCAAATTTATTGATTGGCCTACTATCTGCTAGGCCAGTACTAGGTGCTGAGGGAGCACAGATGTGCCTAGCTCCCCCAAGTCTAGGGTGGAGTCTGGAGGCCTTTGGAGAGATTTAAGGTGGACCTGAAGGATAAGTAGAAGTTAACATAAATTAAGTGGAAGGAGGAAGGGGAGGAGAAAAGGGGGAACGCTGGGCCCTAAGGCGGAGGAGGGAAGGGGAGAGAGAGTTCAAGGTAAGGAGAGGTCCAGTGTGACCCGAGGGGAGAACGGCACCTGGTGAGGTGAGCAGGTACCAGGGTTTGAGGATGTCAGGCCATGGGGCCATTTTTGTTTCATACCTGAAAGTATCCTGGTGAGATTTAGATTCAGAACAAAGCAAAAGTTCAGTTGCTATGTGGAAAATGGATTTGAGGAGCCCGTAAACAGGGCTGGTTCTGAGGGTGTGAGAGGCTGCAGTGGGGTGGCACAAGTGGCTGGATTCCCAGCAGCTCTGGAGTGATTTGGTGACCAGTTTTTGTGTGGTGTAAGAGTACAGGGTGACTCCCTCTAAGCTTGGGCTTGAGCCACTTGGGTAGGTGACACTGCATTTACAGCAGAGGGAACTGGAGGAAAGACAAGTTGGGTTGGTTGAGTCTCAGCTGCTTTTGAGGCCTCTGCTGACCCTCTAGAGAAGCAGATGTCATTTGTATTTGGGGTGCCACTTAAAGCCTGGGCTGTGGCGGGGCTGCGGACCTGGAACAGAGCCCCTGTCTTCATGGGGAGAGGTGAAGGAAACCAGGTGGCCCTGAGTCTCCACTGAAGTCCAGGTGTGAGTGCGTACCCTGCATGGGTGTGTGTGTGTGTGTACACGTGGTGGTGATTGAAGACCGGCAGTGGTGGCCACACTTAACTCCCCAGAAGCTGCTCTCCAGTGAAAGGTAGGACAGAAGGATATCTTTTTTTGAGATGAGAGAGCGTCCCACGTATGTGCATGTGACTGGGATGGAGCCAGTTGGAAAGGAGGAGGTGTCTGGAGACCCTTCCTACTCCTGGAGTATTGGGTAAAAAAGTCTGATTGTACAGGCATTTTGATGCCAAACTCATAATATAAACCATCAACATCTTCCAGAAACAATATTTTGAAATACATATGACTGTGAAATTAGAATTTTTACTTTGTGGATCATGCAAATTTAATGTTTTAAATTAAACATTTCATCCCAGAGATGAAAAGCCCACATGGCAAAGCGGTGCCCTAGCGGGAGGCTGCTGAGGCCTTACTTCTGGCCCTGTCACTCCCTAGCTTGTGAACCTGTGAAAGTTTCCTGACCTCTCGCCTTGGTTTCCTGGTCTCTGAAATGGCAACACATGTAAGAGGTACACACATTATGCTACCTCCTCACGGGTGGTTGTGAGGATTACATGTGCGCATCATGCATGCATAACATTTACATGATATATGCATGTGTGCACCATATGTGCACAAGGTATGGATGTGCACATGTGGTATTCACAAGGTATGCATGTGCAGATCATGGATACACCTGGTATGCATGTGTGCATGACGTATGCACAGTGTGTGCATTGTCCTGGCAGGTAGTGAGTGCTCAGTAAGTCTTAGCGCTGGTTGCTTTAATATGATGATGTCATTTCTATCACTTCTCAGATGTAGGATCTGAGAACTAAAGAATTTTAAGAATTTGTCCAAGGCCATGGAGTCAAACAGTGGAAAGTTAAGGCTAGGATCCCATTTGCCTGACTCACAGGCAGGGGTTCCTTCCACTTAAATGTCAACAAGTATCAAGTGCTGGATGCTGCGTGAAATGAGCTGTAATGAAAAGGATCTGGTCACTGCTCGCTAGAGTGCAGAGAATCAAAGTAGATCATCATATCAATGTCCAGGCTTACCGACTTTTCGTAAGCAATTCGAAGGTGTATGTTTTATATTAATTTGCATTGATTTGCGTGTTATTTTTAAATGCATTTCCATATGCTGGTAATTTTCCTAGTGGGATATACAGCTGAAGCTTCAAGTATATAAGATTAAATAAAATCAACCAGGAATTGAATGCACTGCTTCAAAACCCAATAGATCCCTGGGCACGGTGGGCTTGGTGTGGGTCTTTGGGGAAAGGATTGGATCGATATTTATTACTTTAGATGTGGGAAGCCAGATACCATTTGATAAAAGCAAGTCATATTTTAATATGATATGGAGCTTGATCTGCTGATATAATAGAAAAAGCACTGGAGAAGTGGAAGAAGACCAGAGGGAAGCTGCCTATTATATAAACTGCCAAAAAATGAAGCAGAAGCAGGAAGAGAAGTCTGCTTTATGAAGCAGAACTAATAAGAAACACAAAGGGTCAGAAGTAAAGGTGAAACTAATGCTAAGAACATGACATTTTAAAAAGAACATAATCTTAAATACAAATGTGTGGGGTTTTAAAATGAATAAATTCTCCTTAATTTGGACTTAATGGGAAATGGCCATTGTCTCTTAATAAAATCTTATAAATACATACATTAAAAAAAAAAATACTACAGTTTTGTTACTCCAAGCAGTGGTTCTCAAGGTGTGGTCCCTGGACCAGCCACATCCGCATCACCTGAGAATTTGTTAGAAATTCAAATTCTGAGACCATCCAGACCTGAATCAGCCCCTCTGGGGATAGGCTCAGCAACCAACCTGGGTTTTAATATTTGGAGCCAGTCTTTATTCCTCTTGAATTTTCACTTCTTCAGTCTTAATCTTGCATTTCCCTCTTAATCTTGCATTTCCCTCCTGTGGTCACTAGCTTCTCACTGAGCTGCTTAACTCCCGTCAGTCCATATCCCCCTAGAGTGTGTACCCAGACACAAACACATGAAGCCTCCCCAAGCCTAAGCAGGGGGGGGCAGGGGCGGAGATGTTTTTTCTAAGATCCCTTCAGGCTCTCGTGTTCCACAGCTCCGTGGTTCTCATGCTGTCCAGGATCGCACTGGTTTTGGTTTGGGTTTGGTTTTGCTGCCTTTAAAAAAAATCTTCTAGCAGCCTCATACCAAACTGTGACCAGTCCCAGATGTACACTCAGCCAGAACGCCGGCCTGTGCTTCCTGGATGCTTCTGCTAGACCACATTTCCCCACTTGGTATGAGTGCAGCTGATTTCTTGGACCTAAGTGGTCAGTCTTTATAATTATCTCTGCTAAATCTCATCTTCCTAGATCCAAGTCTGCCCACATCTGTTTGGGTCCTTTTCTGTCTTCTTTTGTATAAACTTCTGTGTCCTTGTCTAATTTGGCTGCTGATGTCCTGGTCTGAGGAATTAATAACATATTGAGTGTCTTCATCACAGGCCTTCCTTGCAGTTAGTGAGACCTAAAACTTGGCATCTTTTGCTCCTTATGGAGCTGACATCAGAAGAATAACTGTCATCAGCTCCATCACTGTTTGCATTTCAGCTGTGGCTCTTCTGAAGTGCTCCCTGTTCTAAAGTGCTCCTCACAGGTTCTGTGAATGAGCCTGCATTTCTGACTCCATCCTCAGTGTTATTCAACAGGGCAGTCATCCAGAGCACATCGCCAGGAGCTGTGTGACTGTCAGGATTGCTTCCCTTTCTTTTGTTTATACCGCGAGCTTAGTTTTTTGTTTGTTTGTTTGTTTTGCAGATGACACGAAGATAAGTTTCAGCTTATTTATGGTCAGATTGAGAGGAACTCAGAAATTTCAAAATAGTAGGAAGCAAAAATTGTGCCTTGTTATTTTTCCCTGCTTGCCTTCCCCCTACCCAGATTTAGGTTATTTAATTTTTTTAATGTAAAATTTTGCTCACACATGATTCTTAAAGGAGTGCGATTAGATAATAAAATTGCACAAAAAAAGTTTAAAAAGGCAAAAAAGCAAAACAACTGGATGGCAAGAATGATTTTAGCCATGCTTGATAGAGCATGAAAAAGTGCCTGTAATCCTCCTACACCATTATGTCCTTCATGAACCTTATCCAGTCCTACTCAGCCCTCTCCCTGCTCCCACCACCTGCATTGAAAGACCGGCC